GATAAATCAAGACAAGCAAAGATGATGCAGCAATAATTAATACTGAGCTAATGATTCCTGGGTCCAAGCAGTAGCACTGGAGTTATTGAGAAGTAGTAAACTCTGAACATATATTCTAGGTGGAATAAACATAATTTGCTGAAGGGAGGTGTGTGGAATAAAAATAAAATTTAGAAATGCTTCTTAATTTTTAGCATGAACAAATAGAAAGAAGGATTTCCATTACCTAACATTAAATTTAAAAAAAATTATGTTTACTCATTTGTAAGTTGGAGAACCTAGAGTCACAAACAGTTAATTCACAAGTTGCAGGTTTAATTCTACTGGTGTTCTTTGAAAGAAATCTGCTTCCAAAAAATTGAAATGGAAAATACAATGAACTACAATCTAGTCTGACCCACCTGCGATCACCATGGGAAGGATCCAACTTCACAACTCCTTGAATCTGAATTATTTTCTGGAGGGAAGCTATTTCTTTATTATTATTATTATCTACTTATCAGTTATTTGCAAGGAAAACATATTTGGAATATGCTCACATTATTTCATGCTCCATTCTAGTCTTATATTTTCATCATAATTTAAAAGTTAAATGTTAATAATACATAGTGTTATGCCATACCGCCACAAACCAGAAAATTTTGTCTTAAATATATATTAGAACATATATTACATAAAACATGGAGAACATTTATATTATATGAAAATGATGAGGAAAACAATATAGTATAACACATTCTTTTTAACACTTAGCTTACATTATTCTTATTTAATAACACTGGATACATACTTTTTAAACTTCCATATTGCTTTATTAAGATGATTGAGTAGTTTGAGTTTAGTTAAATTGTAAGCATTTCTGGATATTACGAGGTCTGAAACATCAAAGAATTTTTGGCTATCTTTCCCACAGAGAATAATATGACACATTTAAAAAGAATAAAATAAAATACTTGAATGAAAGTAAGCCAAAGTTTGTAGATAAGATGAGACAATGCAAAATAACACAAAAATCTATCTATCTATCTATCTATCTATCTATCTATCTATCTATCTATCTCTCTATGTATCTC